AAGGGAATCTTGGAATTTAATCTGGATCTTTGGTTATAAAGCAGAAATAGTCTTTAAATGTGCTGACTGAGCAAAGTTTTAATGATTTCATCCATGATTCTGATTTAACTGCAGAATAAATGTTTGGAGAGAGGAAGGCAAACTGTGTTCACTCAGTACCCCTTTGAACAAGCTTGGTTTAACCTCACATTATTCAATTCTTAAACAAGACAAAACCATGGCAAGATCAGAGAGATAATATTAATCAGGTTAAAGATCCACAGCAAGAGGCAGCTCCTCTTGTGAGAAAAAAACCAACCTCCTGTGAGAAAAAAAGAATTAAAGCCCTGGGTTGAGGTGGGCACAGCCACATGGCCTCTCCTTGAGGGGAAAAGGGGGGAGAGGAACCACAGGACAGGAGTGGGAGGTGGACAGAGAGGTAAAAATGCACATTTATGTTGCTTCTGTTTCAGAGGAGCCACCTTAAGGAGCAGGGGTTTTGTTTGGAGCAAAATCAGCGTTCAAGTCGAATCGATGTACTTTTGTATTAGCTTTGATTTTCTTCAACGACAGGTTCTGAATCTTGCAGAGCCACATCTATATCTACATCTTTATTCATTTAGTTAAAAAAAAATATATTCAGAAAAGTCTACTTTATATTCCTCTTAGATTTTCCTAATGGAAATTATGTACTGGCCTTCAAAGAGATTGATAGAACACATCTGAAGACTTACACTATTAACACAAATTAGAGAATGTACAAATGATTTTCTTAAGAGAAATATGCATGAAGAGAAAAATCAATCCTGTTGTTTACCTTTTTCAATGGAAAAGATTCAACACCAGCTACATGTAAAAGAGTTTTAAAGAAAGCAATACAAGAAAAACAAAGTGCTGATTCTGTTTTACACTTGAAAGCAAAAGGATTCCCTCCCTCCCCACCTCCCAGTAAAATCAAAGGCTCAGAGAGAGCCTAGCTCAGATCCTGTGTTCCAGTGATCTGTATCCTGCCGTAGGGCCTGCAGGAACAAAGCAAATAACAGAATTGCTGGGTCAGGGTGACTGCAGAGCCCAGGAGCAGGCTGCTCTCAGAGGCAGCAGCTGATGGTTGTCAATAGGAGGATGCTCCATCCAGAGTGTCCCTGGGGGCAGGACACGCTGCTCCCACCTTGCTACTCACCTGCCCTATGCTCTCCTCTCCTCTGGGGAAAGGAAAATGGATAGATTGGAGCTGAACAGAGAACATTCTCCATCATGAACCTCTACAGGCACTTTGGAATTTTTTTAAGCCTTTTGTTTCTTAAAAGCAGCCACCACACATGGAAGGTGGCAGAGACTACACTTATGACTAACCTCCAATTTTTATTTCATGCTGCTTTCCCTCAAAGCAGGCACCAAAAGAAGCTTTTTATTCAAGCTGACTGTTGGAAAGAGCAAACTGCACCTACCCAACAGGATCAGTGGGAGCTAACCAAGCTTGTAGTTAAACTTTTAGATTAGCCATTGCTAGATAAAGCAGGAGCGAGTCCCATGCCCTCATGGGGAGCTGGAATCAGATTCTGTAATGACATTGCTGGTGCTCAAATAAGACAATTGGAAGATGGAGGGCAGCAATGCAAAGCATCTGGGCTGTCTGGGGGAGGGCTGGCACGAAGGACACGGGGATGCTCACCTGAGCCTTGGGAAAAGCAGCCTACCCAGAGGTTTTGCTGCATCTTGTAATTAAAAGCACTCCCTGTTGCAATATAAGGCACCCACTCATTACTTTATGCTTCCTGCCTCTTTTCCAAAGGTCTCCCTTTGCTATGAAGACAGCCTCAGATAGATGTTTTCATCTGGAAGCTTTGCTTGACACAGATGAATACTTCCCTCTTTTTTCTCTTTTTTTTTATTTTTATAACTTTAAGACTGGAGCCCAGCTCTCCCAAAAAAAGCTGAGGAACCTCCCAGACGAAATCCTCCATCTCTAGGGCTCCAGTGACACTCACAGTTGTTGGAATATTTTGCCAGCAGTCACATCCTGATTCACATGATGTTGCTGCCTTCCCACACTGCGTGCCACTTGAAGAGACAGCGATCTGTGAGAACAAAGCCTGCTGAAAACAATATTTAGGGACCTTTCATTTGCAGAGACCACGCATTACAAACACCAGCTGCTTATAAATCAGGCTTCTGCTGCTACATCTGCTGGATCAGGCCAGGCTGGGGATGGCCAGCTCCAGATCAGCCCTGGGAGAAGGATTTGGGTTTCTGTGGGTGAGACCTGGAGCTGTCCCAACCCAGAAATCCCCATCCCTGCATGGGCAGGAGGGGAGGGATTGGGATTCTGTCCCTCTGTCTGTCCTGTGCCCAGGTGAGACCCCACCTGCAGAGCTGCCCCAGCCCTGGGCCAGCACAGGAGGGACCTGCAGCTGCTGGAGGCACCAGAGGAGGCTGCAGGGGGAGCAGAGGGATGGAGCAGCTCTGCTGGGAGAGCTGGGATTGTTCACCTGGAAAAGAGAAGTTTTGGGATGCCCAAATCGTGACCTTGCAGGGCCTGAAGGGGCTGCAGGAAAGGTGGAGAGAGACTTTTTAGGAGAGTATGTGGTGAAGGGACAAGGGGGAATGGCTTCAAACAGAGAGAAAGTGGATTCAGATTGGGAATTAGGAAGAAATTCCTCCCTGTGAGGGAGGCCCTGGCAAAGGTGCCCAGGGAAGCTGTGGGTGCCCCTGGGTCCCTGGCAGTGCCCAGGGCCAGGCTTGGAGCACCCTGGGACAGTGAGAGGTGTCCCTGCCATGGCAGGGGTGGCACTGGATCAGCTTTTGGGACTCTCCAAACCTCTAATTCCATGATGTGGCAAAAAACCATCAGGCTAAATTAGAAGCTATAGATATTAATCTGCCTTTTAGTAAAAAAACCCAAACATACTTGGAATCAAAAGTGGATAAATGCTGTGACTGTGCATCACCACCACACTCAGAGGACAGAGGGTTATTTTTGGGCTGGAATTTGTGCAGTCCTGATTTCCAGCTGCTGGAGGTATCTGCTGCACAGAGCAGCAGCATCCCTTCATGTGTGAGTTACCAGGGTGTGAGTTCTTTCTTGCCTTTCACATCTACAATTCATTAAACTTGCTCACGATTCCCTTGTTGGAGCAGGTGTTTCTACAGCACAGTATCTAATGAATCCAGAGAAAACAAAATTGGGGATTAAGCAGGAAATGCATAATTACACCCTGGCAGGATTTTTTCACATCGGTCAGCAGTGCTTTTACAATTGTAATTGATCATAAACACAAGTCAGTGCTTTGCAAAAACTGCCCTCCCTGCAGGGCTGGGACTGAGGAAAATCCTGTGTTTGCCATGGGAAATGTGGCCCTAACGTGGCTCAGGTTTTAGGAGGAAAATAGAGAGGTTAAAAATAGAAATAATGTCCTCCCTCTTGTGGCCCCTGTTTTCCTCTTTACGTGGGAATTTGTGTCACCATGAAGTCAGGGGTTTGGGTTTTGTCTCCAGACAGCCCCTAAGCACAAGTATTTTAATTTTTACATTTCCAGCAGCAGTCAATCCGTGTCACAAGTGTCACCCCAACAAATGGCAAGGACATACTTTGGGGATGCCTGGCTCAGGAATTTAATTCTCTTGAAGAAAGTTCAGGAAATCTCCCACAGTCAGTGGCCCTTTCATTGCTGCTGTGTGAAAATCCCCTCCACACACAGTGAGAAGCTCATTTGTGTAACAATATCTGCTGCTTGTATAACATTTCAGACCTTGTTTTGAAAGCTGCATTTATTAATTAGTTTCTCTTTAAAAGCTACAATGACAGCTCTCCTACTTCCACAATTTAGCTCATTCTGTGCATCCCATATTTGTTTAAAATGATCTAAGCCATGTTATTAGGCATAATAGCTAGTGGGAGAAAACCAAACAAACAAACAAGCAAACATTAAAAGCAGATGAGGACGTGAATTTTAGGAGAGCAGAAAATTCCCTGGGAAAATGTAAGTTGAAGCAAAAAAGGAAGATGCAACCATGAGAGAAAGGCCAAGTGAAATCTTGTGGAGCTCTTCAGAGAAGCCAGTCAGTGTATCAGCTAAAATTACGTAAGTGTGCTGTAATGGGAGATGTCAAACCTCTGACATCTCACCAAAGGCTCTTCAGGAAAATAAATTCCCTCAGAACAAAAAAGAAAAGGCTTTGCATGGACAAATCTTTTAATAAACAAAAAAGGTTAGGAATAAGTGGAGTTTTCACAAAGAAGCAATATTAATATTGAGGTCACCAAGCCAGATTTTTGGGACTGGTACTGTTAAACACTTGCAGGAATGTTCTGCAAGAAAGGGTGAAAGCTACTGAGGTTTGAAAGGGTGAAAGCCACTGAGTTTTCCAGTGGACTGAAATCTAAAGCAAGCTTCAAAGATCTCATTGAGTGAGGAGAAAATTAAGTGCACGTCAAGAAGTGCAAAGCAATGCATAGTCAGGAAGAACTACTTTTCTTACTCAATTACAGCTTTAAAATTAGCTGTTATCTCTCCGAACATATATGGAGGATATTCCGATGGTGCTTTAAGAACATGGGATTAATAAGAAAAGACATTGAAAACATAAGTAATAGGAAAGGGATTAACATGAAATTGGAAGATTAGAAGGTGTTCTGCTACTTAATAACACTCTTATAAAAAATACCTGGGGGAACTGTGATGTCTGTCCCACCTCAAAAAACACAAATGGATTGGAAATGATAAACAGAAGGGGGGAAATAACCCAGTAAGGAGTGCAGGGAAGTTCAGTTGTGGGAAGGGCTGAGAAAGCAGGGATTCCTCCAGCAGGAATAGCAATGGTGGGAGATGGGGAATTGGAGGAAGTCCTGCAGTGTAAGTGGGAAGCAGTTCTCTCCAAAAGCAAAAGGGAACACTTGCTGGGGGAGACAGAGTTTGAAAAACGAGGTTCACTCACTTAATAAATTATAAAAGGTTTAATATAATCAAAAAGACAATTAGGAGACAAAGATAATAAAGCAAAGGGTTAAAACAGCCGGGTGCCCTGGTGTGCTGCCAGGAACGCACCTGATACCTTTGGAACACTCTTTTTATCCCATTCTGCTGTGGGGTTTTAATGCATATTCATACTTTTCCAAGAAGTATTTTGCATGGCTACACCCTGAATCCACCTTTTTAGAGCACGTGTCTTAAAGATTTTATTTCCCTTTATCACATTTTTATTTGGGCTGGGGTTCCTTCTTCTGCAGTCGGTCAGTGTTGATAACAGCCTGGGCCCCATCATTTGTTTCCTGGAGGTTATCTGGCTTTGCACAGACAGGACATGGCCCTAAATTCCAAAATTCTTCTTAACCTACACCTAAGACTTGCTAGCATAATAAAAAGACATAGCAAAAGCATATAACATATAACATTCATCTTAATACTTGCAATAGCCAATATCACAATATGGATTTATAACACAGAGTAAAAGTGAATTTGTTTTCAATTCAGTGGCTTAATTGAAGATCTGTCAGTGGTGTGAAACACAGCAGAGGACAGAGGTGTCACAGCAGGTGACAGCTCTGCCTGCAGGGACAGCACCCAAAACCCAACAGGGAGCAAAGCCAGGGCAGCAAACACAGCTTGGAGCTCGGGCCCTTCCCCATGGCCACCAAGAGAAAAGGTTCAGCATCCCTGGAGCCCCCAGCAGGGCCGTGGGGCCTGGAGGGGCTGCCCAGAGCAGAGGCCAGGCAAGGGGAAGGGAATAAAGTGGGCATTTATTGAAGGCCTTCCCCAGGCACACCTCGGGCAGCCAAAGCCTCCCAGAGGCTGCAGCCAGCACGGACAATGGGCACCAGTTTCTCACACAATTACCAGTTTGCTCCAGTTCCAGATCGGGCTTCATCCTCCAATTCCAGCTGCAGGCAATGAAGTCATTCAGCCCCAGTTTGCTCCCCACAACTCACTTTTGGTCAGACTTTTTGGGGCCTGGGGCACTGAGGTATCCCTGAGATCCAGGCCTAGAGAGGGATGGTTTTGCCTGAATAAAATGACAGGCTATGGAATTTCAGAGTTATGCACTAGAGCAGCACAGGATCTGAAAAACAGAAAAGTGAAATCCTAAGGTATCACCCAGAGGGATGGAGCTCTGTCCTGGGCCAGCTGCTCACACCTATGGCAGGGACAGCCCTGCTTTGATTTCATTTTTTTGATTTTTGATTTTATTCCAGGTGATCTCCAGAGAACCCTTCCAGCCTCTGCTGCTCCTCTGATGGCTCACTCTGCAAAAATTCTCTTCCTTCTGGCTTTTGCTTGATGGCCACTACAGGCAATTATCTTGCTGATATTATTTGACTCATGTGAATGTTGTCATAACCTCTTTCAGTTGTGAAAAATGCCTCGAGTTGAGTTTGGTTTGAAACCCCTTGTGCCTTTCTCTGGTGAAAATGCCCATTCTCACCAGGCAGGATTTCCTGGGCCTCACTAGAGCTGCTCATGGTTCTGGCATTTTGCTCAGCCCTGCTGCTGGTTTCTGCACTTTCTGCTGCATCTGGACAAGATAAAGCTGCTACAGATATAGGCAGCACCCAGAGGACAGACTCTGGGCATTTAGTCTCATTAATTACAATTACCAGGCAGCAAAAGTGTTGTAACAGGAACACTCAGGGGTCCTTTCTACTCTCTGATTCTGTGAGGGAATGATAAACTGGAGTGATATGTAAAGAAAATTCCTTTGAGAACATTAAGTTTTTGGGTTTTTTCCACATAGAAACCTGGAACAATACCGGAACATTAATTTTGTTTCATACAGAATGACTAGCCACATGCCAAATTGAGAGAAAGATTCGGATTTTTGCTCATCCAAAACACCACCATTACTAGAAAACATAAGAAATCTTTCATTGTTTACCCTCTCTCAGGATAAGAAATAAACTGTGATATTTTTATGTCAAGATTCTCTCATTAAAAGATTCCTACCTCCAACAGTTATGAAATAAGATTCTGTTCTCTCAGGTCCTCTGAAGGGAAAGTGGGAGAAAGCTCCAACTCACAAACCAGCATACATTTCATCATTCCTCCTTCTGGAAAACAGTCAGAAAAGTGGGTTGTTTCTCCTTTAATTAGAATGTAAAGGGCAGAATTGAGAAACTGTGGCACATTTATCTCTCCATATGCCAGTGTAAAGGAATGCCAAAGAGATTTGAGCATTTTAAAAGCTAAATGTGTCATATAAGTGTTTAGACTGAGCTAAACAAATATTTTCACCCCATTTTAAATCAAAACACCTATGATCATAGAAAGGTGTTTTTCTCCATCTCTTTTCACCATCGCTTACTCTGACTACTATACTTTAAAGTAATTTTAGCCTGATTTTTTTCTACCCATGAAAAGGCAGTTGAGGTCTTAACAATATTCCCTTGATGTTTTCTCTCTTTTTTTTAATTAATGGCTTGCATGACTCAACATTTTCCACTGTTTTTATCAGTCTGTCCAGGCAGACTTTTTTTTTTTTATGCTCTCAGTATTTTCAAGCAACTGGTCTATTACAGTAGGGTTAAAATCCTCTTGAAAACCACTTCTACAGTTTCAAAGAGGTGGCTATTCAGACATAGGTGACACAACTTTTTTTAGCATAGGAAGGGGAAATTTAATAGTCTCTGTTTACTGAACAGCTCTGACTCATCCTGTCCAAGCTGTCAGTGAAGTGGAGGGAGGGAGAAGAAAAACAAAAATAAAGCAGAGTGTGCAAGAGAGCAAGAGAAAACCAATGTGATCATGTCATTAGAGACTGCATTCTAAATTATACACAACAGGGAGCTGAATTAAGATCTTAAATCCCCTGTTCTAAGTGTTATACTTGTCTTGTTCAGAAAGCAAACACGTGCTGCCATTCTAACTGGTACTTTCTGAGGGAAGGAGGCAAAGGGAAACAGCATCACTTCCATAGTAAGCAAAATACTCCTCCTGTATCTTCTCCAGGCCTGTCTCCAAGCAGCACATCTGTGGCACTTGAAAATCCCAGCTACCTGTGCCACACTCGCTTTTGTTTTGCTTGAAATTTCTGTAGGATTTATTGATGTCCAGCAGATAAAAATGTGTGTGCTTGATTCTCTTGCTCCAAACACCTTTAAATCCAAATCCATGATTTCCTCTGTACCCACATCCCTCACAGAAGTCAGTACCTCTGCACAGGAAACAAATTCTGGCTAATGAATTAATATTAGCAACTCAATTAAAGAATGCTCTAATCATTAACTGCTGCGATAGGGATTTCTGGAAAAGGCTGAGAGGGGTTTGTGTTGCTCTCTTTCTGAAGTGTGGCTGCTCCCCTACAGAACCTCACAGGGATTTGTCTACTGAGATTTAACTGACACAAGGAATTCTGTACATTGTTTGCAAACTCCCTGGCCCTGTGTGCAGTGTTGGCTCAGGATTCAGAAGGAATTTTTCACTGTCAATCACATGGCTTGTCAGATGGAAGTGAGAATATCATTTCTATCCCATCTCATCCAGTTCATTGCTAAAGGCTGCCATTTAGCTTTCCTTTCAGTGCTGTGGGGGGGATGGATGGATGATGGACGGATGATGGATGGATGATGGATGGATGGATGGATGGATGGATGGATGGATGGGTGGATGGATGATGGATGGATGGATGGATGATGGATGGATGGATGATGGATGGATGATGGATGGATGGATGGATGGATGGATGGATGGATGGATGGACGATGGATGGATGGATGGATGGATGGATGGATGGATGGATAGAAGATTATTTGGATCACAGAACAGATGAGAGCTGAATATACACTAGGAGGGAGAAGTTCTATATTTCAGAGCAATCATTAACCTATAGAGCCAGGTCAGCAGCCCAGGCTCCCAGTAAAAATCTTCCCAGTTTCCAAAACACTAACTCGTTAAACAGGATTTCAATTTTAAAACCCCATCTAATGTTTTCACAGCAGGATGATAACTATGAGCCAACAAACAAATTCTGGCTAATGAATTAATATTAGCAATTCAATTAAATAATGCTCTAATCACTAACTGCTGTGATAGGAATTTCTGGAAAAGGCCATTCAGGCTGTATTTACTGTATTTATCAAAAACACTCTACAGGAATACTTTTCACTCTTTCAGATTTAAGAAATGCTGGAATTTAACACAGCACTGTTATTCCTGTGCTAGTCCTGTTCCTGGGACTGCTGAAGTAGCAGAGCCTGTATTTCTGATCCCAGTTTAGTCTCCTGTCTTGAAATCATTGTATGATGGCTAAACAGTGATCTCTGCCTGCACCCAAACTGGTCCCAGCTCTGAATTTGCAGTTTTTATAGTGCCAAGACCAAAGGATTCTATGAAAATAAATTCTCCAAAAGCAGGTTCTGTCTTCTGGCAGTGCAGGGGAGCAGCCCAGGGAATGACTCTTGGGCTTTCTGTGGGAAATACCAGTGCCAGTCAGCCCAAACCAAATTCATTTAAAGCCTCTACTTCCATTTTGGCCAGGCAGCAACTTCCTTCAGGCTTTGTCAGAGACACCCACTCCCTCCAGGGGACAGCCAGCCTGCTTTGAAGAGAGCCCCTCTCAAAATGCAGATTTGTTTGCATCGTTCTAGTTTGGTGGGGGTGAAGAAATCTCTTTGTGGGTTAAGGTGCTGGCAGAACTGCCAAGCAATTCATTCTGAAGTGGTTTTCTTTGTTCACCAGCTAAGGCACCCATAATTTTGTTAAAAGGAGGATATTAGCTGTGACTTCCCATTGTGTAGAACCTCCCCAGTGCCTGCCCAAGGGCCAGGCAGTGCAGATATAAGAATATTCCTATATATCACTTCTAGAAAGATAAAAACACCAGGAGTAAGTGGCAAAAGTCAGAACTGAGTCCAAAAGAATCAGGTTCCAGCATGTTTGGAGCCATTGTTTGAAACTTCTCTAAGTTTTCACACTGCTGTTCACTCTGCCTGAGGTGAGACAGCCCCAGAGAGAATCCCAAACCCCACAAGGATGTAGGAATTGCAGTGAAGGGACTGAGGGAATGCTGCCTCAGCCCTGCAGCCCTCCTCTGCCAGAGCCATCCTTACCTTCAGTGTAAAAAACTCCGTTTCCTCTCCGAGGATCTGTAAATGTTCCCCAAACCTCTGCTATTAGAGCTAAGCAATAAATAAGTACCTAAGTGATCAATGGATGTAGGAAGATCATTTATCTGCCTGATGCTGCTCTGTTACATCATCTCAGCAAGTGGAAACATAATGAAATTGCCAAACTGATCTTACAAGTCCTGCTTTATTAACTGCACTGACTCCATTATTCCTTCCCCTTATTCATAGATCCTCTCCTCCCCCCGGGGTGGTTTAGTTGTAGGAACAGAAAATAAGCACTGTAGGACTGCTGGGAAAACCCCTGATGTTCAGCTATCAAATCCCAAACAGAATGTTTCCAGATATTTTTATAAATCCATATTATAAATTATTTCCCCATCTAATGTCAGAATGAAGTAGTGGCTTCTGAAAGAGTCGTACAAAGGAGGCTGATTCTGAAATTAAGATCCAATGTCTTGTTAGATCCACTTAGATTTTCACAGAGCACCATAAAGACGTAAAGTTCTGTATTTCCCTCCTCCTTTTGATGAGTCACTGCTTGTGACATGGAGATGCTGTGCAGACTTGGTGTCTTCATGAAGATTAAGTAGTCTTATGAAATGCAATTAGAATAAATATGTACCCATCAATCTGTAATTACATTCAGAACAAACCCCAGGTTAACAGCAGAGTTAGAAGCCTGCAATAGAGCTTGCATGGGTCCAGCCTGTTTCCCTGGAGCAGCAGGCAGAGATCCACAGAAAGCCTTCCTTTCTGATTTCAGCAGTAATCAATTTATTCTCCAAAGCACAAAATGGGAGGCATTAGGGCTGGCTCTAAACATACAAGGATATCTGTTTCATATGGCTGCTGAATCAGAGGCATCTCAGTGGCTCCATGGGAGGGGTTTCTGGATAATCCAGTAAGGGAGAGGAGTTTGTACAGAAAGAGTTCTGGGAAGAGACAAATCAGCTCCTGTTTTCTGGCCATTAGGTGAGAAAAAGAACATGTGTGAGTAGAAGAGTTGAGGTTTGGGTACCACTCTACAGAATGCACTGCTCAGACAATGCCACCCACACCTCCACCCAGAGATTTCTCCTAAATTGATCTTAAAAATCTAAACTAATATTTATTTTTGCTAATTGCTACCTCTTGTACCTCAGTCAACCAACTCTTAGCTTTCCTCTCACCTAATTTTCCTTGGAAGGCACAGTAACTATTTAGAGACAAAATGAGGTATCACTACTTTTACTGCCACTTCTACTTTCTGATGTGATGATGGCTGTCACTTTGGAAAAAACCAAGCAGGAAAGGGCTGCAAATGCTGCCAAGCTTGCCCCTAGCACAGATTTGATATCCAAGCAAAAGACAATACTTCAGTTCTCTGAAACAATACAAAGAAGCCATCAAAGCCCAGGTCTGTCTGGTACTTTTAACCATACAGAAATAATGACTGCTAATTACTATGCCCAGCACTCTTTGTGTTTATTTACAGAATTTCCTCAGGAGCTCTGCACTTCACCTTGATTAAGCAGTGAAATAACAAAGTTTCAGTTCTTTCACAGAGAGATAAAAATATTCAGCATCTCCACACGGGTATATTCACTGTTGCTGCAAATTTTATGTACAGGGTGCCTGTGAAATGAGGAAGCTATGCTGGGGAGGGCAGAAGGGGAGCAGGGGCAGGCAAACAGCTGGAAGGAAGAGCAGGAGCTCTGAGCAGCTTGATGGAGGAGGAAATTCAGTGCTCTCACTATTGCAGGTCAGTGGCCCAGCAAATGCTGCCTCAAGGCCTGAAACAAGAAGAGCGCAGTCAGTCGCTTGGAAATGCAGGGAGGAAAGATCTCACCCTGTTTAATTTGTATTGAGCATCACACCCACTGCTCAGGGAAAGTTTTAATTAGACGTGGAGGGGAGTTTGCCAAAAGAAACTCATTAGTCTGTTGACTGTGGCAATTGGCTACAGTATGAAAACCATCACTTTTAGTCCTTGTTCTGTCTCTCTCCCATGCTCCCAGGTAATTCCCCGGCCACCAGTTTCTCTGTGGCCAGCTCTTTCTTAATGCACATATTTAATCTTCTGTAAATATTCACAATTCAGGAAAAGGTTTACCAAGCATGGATTTCAGGTACTTAAAATCTTGGCAATATAAATAGTTACACACAGTTATACAGCTCCAAAAAGGACAACTGGGAAAATTGGACAAGATGTCAAATAAAGTCTATCCATAAAGGCACTTGTAAAATGAGAGATCACTGTTTCTGGAGAGAGGAAATATGTTAATATTTCAGGTTATTTATTTGTATTTTCTTACTGTTCTCAGAAGCATTTTTTTGAAAACCTTGGGATCATCCCAATGAGGAACAGAGATATATATTTTCCTCACATTTTGTAGAATGAAAGAATGTTTCTGTGAGCAACTTTTAATATATTGTCCATTTGTGGTTCTGCACTTGCAGGAGTCTTTTGTTGGCTCACCCCTCCTATGTGGTACTCAGAATATTACAAGTGCTAAAGGCTACAGAGTGTGTTAAATAAAAATGAAAGATATTCCTGAACTTGGTTAAACAAAACTCATCATATTGTATGAACAAATTCTCTTCAACTGCAATGCCTCAAAACCTTTGGATCAAACCCAGGCTCTTTCCCACAGAGAAATTTCAGCCACATTGGATGCACTTAGAGCTGACAGAGTTATCAAACTCTCACTCAGAGAAAGCAAAGGCAAACAGGATTTCATTTTGCTTGTGGTCTTGCAGGAGTTTGTGTCTATTCCTGTGCTCCCCAAAGAAACTACAGTATTTACCCAGAGCTTGCAGCAGGCAGGCAAAAACGAATTGGCTGTGTAACGGGACAGTGCCATGTGCTCCTCCCCAAACACAGTTTTACATCCACACCCATCAGTTTAGGGACCTCTGACTGTGTTCCACATTTACCAGGTACAGCTTCATGGTCTTATTCCCTGGGTTTTCTAGAGGCCCCGGGGCTCTGACTGAATTTCTACAGCACTGGCTTTTGTTTGCCACTATTTAGCAGTTGAATATCACCTGCAGACCAAAATGTTTACTCCTGCCTACAGGTGAGTGCAGTCTGACAAACAGATGTGCAACCTGTTTTATCCTAATTTACAAACCTGAGAGGGAATGCACAAAATAAAATTCCTACAGAAAACAGAAGTTCAAGTGACTTGAAACATTTCAAAAGAACATTCTTTTTTCTCTTTTGCCTTACCATCCTCTCCAGTCACAGAATATTTGGGAAAATAATGAAAGCTTTGCATGATGGAAAAATACATTTATTCGAGCATGTGAGGTGCTTTTAACACTTGAGACAAATTACATACACACCAAGTATAAGCAGATAAAAACCACAAATGACAAACACAGAAAAAGGAGGATGGATAAAGTGCTGGGGCTATAAGGGTGTGGTTGTGGGTTATCAGATAAAATACCTCAATGAATTTATCAAGTCAACAACTCTATCCATGCTAAGAAGTTCTTAAGTGTCAATTCCCTTGTTGAACCCTATACAAAGCAACGAAGTTTTGGTCAAACCTTTCAGTGCCATGTGAAAAATCAAGCACTGCTTACAGGCAAGATCTCTGTACAAGCAGAGGGAGGAGAAGGCATTTCTAATGAAAGGACATTTTATTGTGAGGCAGTTTTGGAGTCATGACACCTCTAAACAGAGCAGTGAGTCCCACTGCCCTTCAAATGTGGGACTAAAAAAGCCAAAAGTGTTATGGACATGGCTCAGCACTCATCGACATCCAAATTAAAGTCATCCAAGTCAACTTTGTCCAAGTCAGTGTTATCCCAACCAAAGACATCCAAGCTGAAGCCAATGTGATTGTCCCGATCACCACCATTATCTGTGCATCATCATCATCATCATCATCATCATCATCATCATCATCATCATCATCATTCCAAGATAAGGTAATCCTTACCTGAGCTGTTCTCATCCAAGTGCAGATCCAAGCCAGCCTCTGAGTCACCACTGGCCATGTCCAGCCCATCATTTTTGCCACTATCATCCCAGTAATTGTTCTCTCAGTCATCCCTGTGTTGTCATCATCGTGGACACCCAAGTCATTTTCTAGTTTACTTGTCCTGTTTGGAGGAATTTACATACTAATGATTTAAATTAATATTAGAGATTAATGATATTTAATAAATTCAAAACTTCCTATCCCAAGTTATTTTCTAACTTAACCCTTTAATGGATATGTGTTTCTAGTAGTTAAAAACAAATGTGGGCTTTAAAGTTTGGTTTTGTGTTTAGGCTTTTCTTTCTTGGAAAGCTCTGGTGGGGACAGAGAACATTTTATATTAATACAACCTGTATATAATATCAGGATGAAGAATCAGAAAGTGCTCTCCAAGTATTTTTAAAAATAAATTATTCAGTCTAACTGTTTGTAATATAATAAGATTAAAGGACAAATAAAAAAATGAAAAATGAATTTTTATTAAAAAATCTGACTTAAATGTCACATTTTGAGGAGAAAAAAGAGAGAAAAACAGAACTTCTGGATTAACCAGCAAGAGACAGAAATTTTCCTTCTACCTTGAATATACAATGTTAAAGTTGCACTGCATTTCTTAAGTGTTAACATGCAAGTTTCAACTAATTGTTTTAAGACAGGCAACACTAATTTGATTCTCAAAGTACTGAATTAGTTTAATCACAAATTTCATTAAAATGCAGAACATTGTCCAGTTAGGGAAAGGTAATGGAAGTAAAAAGGAGACAGAAGAAAAAGCGTCACTGTAAAAAATAGTAACAGACTTAATCCTTATAAATTTCATCCTTACAGATTTCATACTTCCATTCTTCCAAGTTCTTTACCCTCACCACTCACAAATGGTGAGAAAACTCAAAATAAAGTCTATTTTAACATTAACATATGTTATTCAGCTACTGTGGGCAGCCATAAATTATGGTACTTATAAATGCTATACACAAGCAAATAATTTAACTGTCAGAACCACAGTAAAAGCATTCAAAAACACTTTCCAAACAAAAAGAATTTTTCTGTGTAACTCCTAAAGAACTATGCAAGAACTCAGGGAAAAAAAAAGTGGATTTTTATGGAGTTGAGTAGATTTATACATTTCTCTTTCAAAGTAAAGAAGAAAATATCTATGCATTTATTAGCAAACATCGGAGTCTTTATAAGATCAAGACTGTTACAGACATAAAAGAAACTTTAGGTTAATTCAGATTTCTCTTGTAGATTAAGCAAGAAATCCTGGTTGCTGACCTGAAAGGGGAACACTGTTATTCTCTCCCATCTCCACAGATCAGGGGATTACTTGCTGAGGGCTGCCTGGTGTTTGCTGCTGCTGGAAACCATCACTGCCCGATCCAGAGTAGAGTTTGCAGCTCCAGGAGCTGCCCCAGCCTAAACCTGCGGGCACCCCCAGCAGCTGGGCAGGGTCACACTGAGGAACAAATGAGGATGAAGAAATCACAAGGTTTTCCCCAATAAGCAGTCCAATGCATCAATAAATTATATAAATTATATATAAATTGTATATAAATTATATATAAATTATACCCCTCTTTAGGATTAGACTTCAGCTTCCCCCTCCCCGAAATTTGGATCCTATTATATATAATTTAATCATGTGTGTCTCAAAATGGAGGTTTTCAACTGCTAGAAACCTTGTCTTTCAGCTCCATCCTTTTTTTTCCTCATCTTAGACATGCTGTACTGATGAAATTGTTAATACAGACTTTCAACACAAACAATAATTTGGCAGCTGTGAATTGTACTGCAGCATCTACATTAAACTTCAGAAATGTTATTAAGAAAAAACCATCGTTATTCATTTATCAGATATTTGTGTGCTTCCACTTATTTCTATTTGCAGTTCTGACTTTGTGCTCTCTCCTGGTGAGAGCCCTTCCAACGCTTTTGGCTTCAGCAGGTTCATTCTCCACTAGTGCTGTTCTACAACAATGACCATGAGAAAAGACAATTTTCATTAAAATGCAGATCACTGTCCAGTCAGGGAAAGGTAATGGAAGTACAAAAGGAGACAGAAGAAAAAACTTAACTGTAACAAATAGTGACAGATTTCATCCTTATAAATTTCATCCTTATAGATTTCATACTTCCATTCTCCAAAGTTCTTTACCCTCATCATTCATGAATGGTGAAGCCCAGATTTCCCTTGTGTGTTTTGTTGTACAAGACTGGTGAAGCACTGCTCACCAGGACAGCTGACCACTCACAAGCACTCTGAGTTTGTCTTTCAACAAGGAGTAATTTCATCTCCCAGCTATAAAAATATAAGAAGCAAATGAAGAGACCACCTTACTTGGAATTCAAGGATTCAACAAGAGAATAAACACAAAGGTAAGTCTTGTCAAGAAAAAAAAGCCAGACAACAAACAAAAACAACCAATCATTTTCTAATTCTGCACAAGAAGCCTCTTGCCAGCACCTCAGTGTTTAAACACATGGCTCATGCTGTAACCTCCCCGAGCCAGGCACGCTGCCACTGCCACCATCAGCTGCTTGGCAAAGCCAGCAGTGAGGCAAGCGTTGCAATTCCTGAAACTCCTGCCAAAACCAGGCAAAGGCACATTAATAAAGGGCATTCTAATGCCTAACACAGGCTGTGTCCTCCTACAGCTCATCAGGGATGGGCTGGCTCACAGTCCATACTTTTTGTTTCTATCTTGCAGGGTTTTCTAAGGCTTCAAGATCATCTTTACAGCATGGAAGCTCCTCCAGACTCTCGGTGTTGCTATAGGAACAGATTATTTCACTTACGCTGCTCTTTTAAATGGTCAAATTGGGTAAATGCAGAAATCATCAGCTGCAAAACTGAACTGATTACTCTTTTCAAGTTCCTTCTGAGTGTACCAATTTTTGAGAGAAGTGAATCAGCAAGACATTTGGCAACTGAAAGCAAAATCGGGTCTGAAGACAGCCTTAATGGGTATCTTAAAAAATATCTTTAAATAAACTATATAACATAGTCTCTTAAATGAAAATTAAGTTGTTTATAATTTCTCTTGAAGGCTGCCTGATACTCATTATATCATAATTTCTGGACTGTTTGTATAAATCTAGACTGAAAAAATACACATTTCCCACCCCTTCTTAGTGCTCAATATATTATGATCACCTTCAATTTCCTGCTAAAATTCAGCAAGGAAGCTTTTGGAGGAGAAACATTTTAATTACTGAATCGTGCTGTAAATAAGGATTACATGGACTGACCACAAGAAAAAATGTTAAAATGATATTTCTGTTGTAGTGAACAAAACAACTTTATACAGTCATCATTTGTGATATTGTTCATATACAGTAAACAGAATATTGATGCTAAAATTGAGGATGAGGGGAGGGAGAATTATGATCATTATTCCACGGCCAAAAAGTTAAAACAATCTGGAATTCCACAGAAAACTTCATTTGCAAGCAAATGAACATTTGAGTTTTTGTGATGGTAAAGGTTATAGACACTTTTTTAATGGATAGGATCCATAAAACTGGGATAAAAAAACAAATAGTAATGAAAGGATGTGTTTCTATAACACACAGACATTAATCACCTTGACTGTCCTCATACTTTGGAATTACTTTATGTTGTCAATGCTACAGCTGAAAAATAGGGTGGGATTTTTTTTTCTAGAAAAACTTTGGACCTCTGAGTATTTTTCCATTGTGCAATAGTTGTTCATATATTAAATGGATTTCTACTGTTATTTAAGAGATTAAATGACATTTAATTAATGGCAATTAAGATTGCTGAAGCCATCCTGAGCGAAGGAATGAGAAACCTCAGGAATATTCTATTTGGACTTCATATCTCACCTTTCTTCTTGGAGAGAAGAGTGCAATAATTCCTTCAGAGCACAGAGCAGGTGGAGAACATTAAAGAATTGTTTTCATGCACAGAACATCCCTGACCTCTTCTGATTTCTTCTGTCTCACCTTGTTCTTTAGCAGAGTGTATGAGGGGATGGGGCCAGCAGATGGTGATGCTGCATCCCAGGGAATGCCAGACTCACATCCCTGCAGGGAGTCCCTGGGTTGATGCCTTAGGATTTCAGCTTTTGTATTTTCCATCCATTTGCAGTGCTGCAGTTCTTTAGTGCCTGACTCCAAACTCCATGTGCAGGCTCAGCTGCTGCTTCCCCATCCTGCTCAGACACAGCAATTCCTCCCCAGGCCTGCAATCAAGGACACCTCACTGCCCCAGGCCTGAGAGATGGAAACAAAAGGGACTTGGGGGCAGCAAAGCTGCCCTAAATGACTTCATTCCCTGCAGCTGCAATTGGGAGATGAACCCCCAATGTGCAAATGGAGCCAGCTTAGAAAAGTGTCAGACCTGGGACCCACTGGCCATTTTTGGGTGCAGCCCAAAATGTACCTGGAGACCCTTCAATAAATAGAAACTGCTTGTTATTCCCTTAATTCTGCCTGGCCTCTGTTTTTAGGTAGCCCCAAAAGGCATCAAGGTGTCCTTGGGCAGTGTAGGAGCCCCTCAAGGCACGTGGAGCAGCTCCAGGTGAACGTTGCCAAAATGTGCAGGGGAAGATGTGAGAGAGGGAGCCCAGGCTGGGCTTCTCAGAGCTTGGAGAAAAGGCAAAAATATTGAGTGCTACATTCTGAAGGGGAAAGGGGAGCTTGTGATACACTCAGGAGGTGAAGGGTGGGTGATGGCACATTGAGGGAAGAGAGAGGAAAAAAATTATAGGGAAGTCCTGAAATAAAACATTGGGAACCTGAGGTAATGAGAAGCGCCCCAAGAAAAATCTGTACATGAACAATCTCGGACATTTGAATTAAAGATGGACATTCCTCCATGAGTAAATTTGACAGGAATATTCTTTATGTCTGTCTGAATCCCTAGTAAGTATTTTCCACCTGCAGAATACACTAGAATTGAATTTCTGATGCTCAACTAAAAAATAAATCTGTGCCTGCGTTTAAAATTCTGGTTGTGCTGCAGATGCTCAAGTTCTTCTGCAACACTTTGACTAATTCACCTTCCCTTCAGAATAACACAAGTTCTTTCTTACACATTACTTTATTATTCTTCATCCTACAGCCGTATTAAGGACATGACTCACTAAATAATGAGCGGTTTCTCACATTTTAGTAATTTTCTAGCAGGTTAGATTTTACCTGTGTGTCCTCAGGACATGTCAGAGGCAGAAAAGGTTTTCTTTGCACACCCAGAAGCAGTGCAGACACTTGAATTCTCACACTCTGCTCCCCAGCAGGTCTCGTTATTGCAGGCAGGACGAGCTCTTGGCTCCCTGGAACCGGTGGGCTGCATCTGCCCAGATCAGAGCTCGAGAAAAGCCACACTGTGAGCCAGCAGAAATTTCTGCAATCCATTAAGAGTTTTCTACTGAACAAAACTCTAATATACTTCCCTCTATTTGTCCTGTGGGAAAAATCTTTTGGTATTTTGCAGTTCTATTTTTTCTCCAGTGCTCTCTGTGAGAGAAAAAAATCATTTGCTCATGATTCATTTTTGTCTGAGAAGCTCTGCACATGTCACCATGTAAAAGAAAGCACTCAATGCCAAGCCGTGAAGAACCCTGCATTGCCAATGTGCTTTTATTATTTTTTTTACTTGAGATGTATAGATTTTTTTAAAAATCAGAAATGAAACCTTTGTTTTGAAATCCATCCCTAAGATTGTCAGAAGGACCAGTCTGTTGTTATTAGGGAAAGAAATGAGGCTGAAGGATTTTTTATAATGCACAGAATGTCAACAGAAACACTTGACATTGATTCTTGCTCTGGAATGGAGGAGTCTTAAAGAAGTGAGATCTGAGCCAGCTTAATTGGCTTGGATTCTTTACAAATCTGGCCTAAAGTGGGTGCACTACTCAGTCAATAGAGTATTTTCGGAGGCTGTGCATTTTATTCTGAAAACATGAGTTTGAAGCGGTGACATTTCAATTCTCTTGGAAGACAGAAGAAAAATAGATCTGAGAATTAAACCTCCTACATGGCCAGAGACCAGCAACAGAAAGCACGAAGTGCCTGCTCCAACTTCTCCTGTGCTTCTGCCAAAAAACTGCAGAGTTCACATTGAGAAATGCCCCCTGTGCTTTCTTATAATTATTCAGAATTATGATCTACACATTTTATATATTCTTTCTTTGGATATACGCAAACAGCAGGAACTAGTCATGAACTGGGCGGGTTCCACCTGGCCAGAGTTGGTCACCTGCTGTGTGAAATGTGTTCTGGTCACTGTTCAAACAGTAGCACTGGCAGCTCCCTTTAATGACCCAGTTCGTGTTCTACACCTTAAATTCAGGGTACCTGTAAAGGTGAGGATATCTTTTATTTAACTAACACACAAATCTTTTTCTCCTCAGTAATATGTAATTAAGTCTGCCAAACAGACCTATATATAAATTTGTTATCTGCCTATTGAAATAAAAACCTTCAAGCACCTACCCTGTGCAACTTAAAATAAGTGTGGAGAAAGGAATCTAGCACTGACCAAATCTCAAAAAAATGCTGTGCAAAGTTCAAGAATATCAGAATTTAAATTTGGGCATACATTGGCTATCTCTTATACTGAAAAAAGGGTTAACAGTAGCATCCCACAAGCTGAGCTCAAAATGTATCCAAGGTTTCCAGCCCAGGTATGCACGGAATAATTAGGTCACTGATGTTAATGAAGGCAGACACCCCTGAATTCTGTGGTGAAGGGCTAGCAGAGCTGTACTTCCTTTCCCAAAAGCTACAGGAGCACCTCAAACACACATCTAAACCCTGACATCATTAGAGCAGAGAATGCCCCTTCCAAGAACTTCTGTTATAAACCTTTTCAACTTTACAGAAGCCGACCTACATCATCAGACCAGACTGTTTCTAACAGGGCACTCAAACACAGCATTTTTAGTAAGAAACAGTTGTTATTCTCATTTACTACAAAGATAAACAGCCAGTCCAGGAATCATCTGAATTTTCTCTGTGTTTTAAGACACTGCTAATTAGAACCTAAGGAAAGGGCTAAAAATACCCAGAGATGCAGCTGACATCTCCCTGATTCAACGTGAGAACCTTCTGTGCTAGCTGAGAGCAGTGACTAACACAACTGCTTCAGTCTGTGCTCTACCATCAACACTGGCACTTACTTTTGCCTAAATAAGATGGATAATTTAGGTGAGAAGAGTTTTTTCCCCTGCTGAAAGCAAGTAATTATTAAGTTGTTCAGGAATTCAGTGAACAGAACAAACAGCCAAAGTTTCATATATTCTGAAAGCAGTAGATTCAAAAACATTGAATTTTTCCCATTTTCATTGGGAAAAACAGCTCCTGATCTGTATTCTAAGTCCATCAAGTCTAAATGATATTTTAAGCAAAAGCTTTTTAGTGTTTCCCAGACTTCTGGTAAAAGTCTGTGGTTTTGCTCTGTCAAAACAGCAAATGAAAGAAGCAATAGTCCAAGGAGCAAACAAATAAATAAACCCTGGATAATGTCATTAACACTACCAGGCCAGAAAACTCTGAAACTTTTTGTTCTGTGTATCATAAAACCTTTCAATATTATTGTGGCTTCAGATGAAACTGAAATATTACCTCAAGACTTCTAAGGTTTTAGATTGATTAGAATGGGATGATACCACTTCCCCAATTTTTACTGATACACCAAAGAAGGGAATCAGAAGAACATCCCAAATTGCTGATCGAAATTCAGGCACTCAAATCTATAGTTAGAATAAAGAGATACATTAGAAAAAGAATTAATTACAAGTTACTGGCCAAAATTAATTAAAGCAAGGTCCCGCTCCAGCAGAAGAAAGGTGCCTAATATTCTTGTCAAATATTTGCTTCTAAATCTATTATTAAATCTATTTATTTATTATATATAAAATCTAATAAGAGCAGTTCTAACAGCAGACCAAACAGGAATAGGTAATGTAAACCATTTGTAGGACATGAATAATACAGTCTATATTTGTCTATTTAACAATCTTGTATTTAAGTAAATATTATTTATGTTACAGAAAATGTCAGAAAGACCATTTTATGTGCATGTGAACAGACCAAGGTGATTTGCATCTTCATCCTTCATAGCTGTCAAAGTTCTACATTCTCTGATGACAAGTGGAATAGAGCTTCCCACTAACCCTAGAGATGAGGGCAATAGAACATCATGCAAGTAGGACTCAAATTATCCAATTCTAAAGTTACTCTTAAGTATTCTAAAGTAATTCTCAAGTAATCCAATTTTAAAGTTGGCTTGGAGCTCAGAGAAATATTAAAACCACTTCAAGCTCCTTTAATAACTTTTTCTTTTGGTTTACAATTAATTGCTTATCTGCAGTTTGCTTTTTTTTTTTTTTTAACTGGGTTCATCAGGTGGTTCTCTTTAGAACACAGAATTGTTGGGAAATAAATAATAATTTAAGAACTAGAAATGAGCAAAAAACTTCTGCATTAAACAGATTAACCTGAAGAAAAGGGGGCAGTGATTTACCTCCCCAGTTACACACAAGGAATATCAGACCAAATTTCAGACTTTTGTATTTCTCTCCCAAGAAATTCTCCCTCCCTCCTGTTCCTCTCCTACCTTGTCTGAGAGAATTCTAAATCTGTGAAACAATACTCCTTTTACTGTTTCCTTGGGGAAGTTGGTAGGCCTGTAATAAATCATTTATCCTGAAATGCATTCATCTCTCTTCCTTTTTTAATTTCAGTTCAGCAATGCTGAATCCCCCAAACACCTACCTGAATTAAAATTATATCTCTCCGTATCGTTTGATACCGTTTCCACCGTGAAACACTAATGAGGTTTCCTGAAGCATCCTGAGTTTAAAACATCGTGCCAGATGATTTAATGCTTCCATCTAGAGCATCTCGAGGATTTGGGATGAATTCTCAAAGTTAAGATTCTTAAGGAATTCTTTTTTTTCCTGTAATAAAAAGGTTTCTCCAGATTTAACTATCTATGATTAGTGTTACTTAGGACATGACACAATTAAGGTGAATTTTATGGATCTATACTATTAATTTCTTGCTTCAGCACCTATGTACAGGACTGCTTTCATCAGCTTATCTATCATAAATTCTTCAAAGAAACTCAACAGTAAAGTCCCATTTTAGTTTAGAATCTAAAGCAGGCTCAAAATCCAGAGAATATTTTACAAAAACATATGTACAGAGACAGACAGCAAAGTGGATTTTGAGCATCTCAGAGTATTAACAAGGCCAAGAATATCTAATAACTTCCCCCCTGGCAACAACAAACCTTGCACAGCTCTAAAACCCAAACTGCTTTATTGCCCACGCTGGGATGTTCATGGTCTGCATGTAGAAGCTACTGTTTCTATTGAAAATATATTTAAAAGGCAAATTAATTCCAATAATTAATTGAAGTGTGAGACTTGCAGAAAAATAGAAATAGTCAGATTGAACTTTGATAACTGATATGGGGATGTTTTTCAGCACTGAAGTGTCACCTGCTTGCAGCTAATTAACCTGGACGATCTAATTAATTGGATGAGCAAAGCCAGGCCTCTCAGAGCATTTGAACTACGAGGCAGAGCAGCAGTTATACATATATATATATAAATCTTTTTTCTTTTGTGGTGAATATTTTAAATTTTGGTCTCCTTTGAACTTAGGAAATCCTCAAGATGCTGTGTTCAACAAACATCTCCAAACTTCAGTGCGCTCATAATCGCATAAATGCAAAAGAGAAATTGTTGAATTTTATCATGTGTTGAACAGGTTGCTCTTTCATTTGGAAGTTCAAAACTGTTGCAAAAATTCCAGAGATGAGTTTGAAAGCTTTTGCCACAGCTTTGCAAGCTGCCTTGTTTGTGTGTCTTTTAGGATATCTTTATGAATGACTAACTTTGTTCATTCTCTATTGTGCTATTTATAAGTCTAATTAACTATGAGATTATCACAATATTTAACACTTAAGAGTCAGGTAGCTGCACCACCCCAAGAAAAAGTTAAATTATATTCTTACAGAAGTTTAACAAAAGTTATGTATTACCTATGGATCACATAAGATGTCCTATAAGACACACAAACAATTGAGCCTGTGGCAAAATAAGCTCATCACTTATTTTTTCAACATCTGCATAAAAGGCAAGAGCAACTTTTTCAACAGGTGTTAAAATTCAGCAATTTCTCTTCTGCATTTATGTGATTATGAGCACGCTGAAGTTTGGAGATGTTTGCTGAACACAGCATCTTGAGGATTTCATAACTGTATGGGAGAACAAAATTAAAAATATTCACCTCAAGGAAGATTTAGCGTATAACTGCTGCTCTGCAGTGTAGTTCAAATCCCCTGAGATTCTCCTAAATAGGGAAAACAAAGCCTTGTGGAATGAAATGCAGAATAGGAAAGTAAATAAAACCACAGTTCAGGTGAAGTGCACAAGTGGGCTGAAGGCATTTCAGACAGAACCACACAGACACTTCAAGGAGCCTGGAGGGAAGAAAAAAAATTAAACATAAACCTTATAGGACAGGTTAGTTATGTGAAAATGGCCTTTTAAATACTTCTCATTTCCACTAGAGATAACAAAGTTCATGTGAAGTGCAGATAAGCATGGTCATTTCTAAATTATTACAAAATGTCAAGGTATGCATATTCTCATTTTTCATGATCATGATGCATTATTGCCATGACATTATAAACTGCATTCAGTATTAAAAGCTCCAGTTTTCACAGCATATGAATTCCATCGATTGCATCTCCCACTGTAACAATTTCAAATAAATCAGCTTAAGTAATGGAAGAGCAGCTAGGATTCCACTGATAGCATAATACGAGTGAATATTTTCATAAATGAGGAATTAGAATGACAATTTTTCTTTTCATCTATGGAGTGAAGCTGTTTATACCAACACAGAGCCTCTAGAACCTAGAAAGGATAAAGAACATAAATCAATACATTTTGAATGACAAAAGCTTCCTCCTGATTAAGACCAACCTCTTTATGAGAATGAAAGTTTTTTAAAATGACATTTGGAAGAAATGGTCACCAACCGTGTGCCAGCCATTTTCTACATCAACAACTTTCCTCATCTTAATCCCATTTTGCAGCCCTGTCACCTTCTTGTCCTCCCTGTCTTGCTTCAGGACACGAAGGGCTGCAGCAGAACAAACCCCTTGTTTAGTAGCAGAACTGCAGAAATGATTGGAGGAGATAAACTCTTTGTGCTTTCGCACAGCCCACACAAGCATTAGCTTAAAATATCACTGTAATGTATTTTTCAGTGTCACTTGCTGTTTATTCTGCTTAATGATCCTTCTTATTCTCTCTTGTGTGTGCACAGAATTTCAATTCTGCTTTGGTAACTCATCATGGTGAGAATATGCAGTTTGGTGGCTACAATTATGAGGCTAATAAATAATGTCCTGCATTGAATCTGTAGAACTGCCTTCCTTAGGATTTAAATATATTAGCATATTAATAATAACATAGGCAGTTAAATCCACTTTAATTCAGACACTTGAATTCAAGCTTTTGTCCAAAAAAGTTCCTCCAACACACAAATTGTACAAGCTAACTACAAGATTTCATGAATTAGCATGCAATCAAATCTGGCTAACCTACAATTAACAGCTGATCAATTAACATGCAGAGGAATACCACTGCAGAGTCCAACTCAAACCATCACACCCTCAGACTAACACCCCTGACATGACTTATCACCATCTACACATATTACAGGAACAAGCAAACATCATGGTTAATTACACAGCTAGGTTTAGAAATATTCACAAAGTGGAAATTAAAAATAAAGGCTGGTAAGGACGCATCCTGTCACAGTCAGAGCCCTTGAAAGCATTGCCATCACTGAAATGATTTCTTTCTGGAGTCACCTTCAGATGGTTTTGTCTCTTGCCTCACAGAGCCATTGAGGGGCCACCATCTGGTGTGGCTCTAGGTTAATCCTGCTGGGAATGCAGCTGGAGTTCTGTTACTATTCCAGAGCCAGGGCTGTGAATAATTCAGGAGTACAGAGCTGAAATAGAAAGTATTGAACGGGGGATAACCTACAGCTTCTATTTTTTCTATCTAATAATGGCACCAGGGAACACCCTCATTTATTGGTGTTTGATGTCCCCACAGAGACACCCTCATTTATTGGTGTTTGATGTCCCCACAGAGGCAAAAAACCATAAAACGTGGTTTTTTTCTTATCTCCTGTCCAGAATAAGGTGTAACTTCCCTAAAAGCTAGGAGGTGGGATACTGGTTTAAAGCATTCTGGAAGAAGAATGAATGCTATTGATCACTTCTACAAAACAGGAGCTCCCATCTCCCAGGAGATTTCAGCATAGAGAGAGGTCAGTTTTCCTGAGCTCAGGAGTTGCTGGGGACAAAATGAGTCTCCCTGGCCCAGGATGGAGCAGCCTGCAGTGCACCACCTGCAAGGACACAGCACGATTTTCATCTCCCAGTGCCTCACTGCATCCCACAGAGGGATGTGTTGCTGTGTAAAAATATGTTCTCTCACACATTGCCAGTCTGTCACAGAAATCCCTTCCTGACTGGAACAAGCAAGGAGACAGGACCAAGGCAAGAAGAAAACACACAAATTTCAGTATTTAACCAACTTTTATGTTCATTTTTATCTCAGTTATCTTGACTACTATTCTAGCAAAACTCCATTTGTTGGTTGATACTAACTGTTCCTGCTAATAAACTCCTGGTAAAAGAAGGATGAGCCTGTGCATGGTGATGGCTGAGCTGCTTTCAGCAACAGGTCTGGAAGAGACAACTGGAAATATCCAGCTACTTCTCTGTCCTTGCTGGAAAATGATCCCTTGGACACTGAAGAGTCACAGGGTCCCAAATAAGCTTGTGGGGGCGAGGCAGAAAGCTCTGCTACCAAAATGTAACATAGAGTGCAAATCCCCTAACGCTCCCAAGTGGCTGCACACCACAGCCTCTTCAAAGCTGAGGAAAAGGGTTGTGTGCCACCCCTCACCCCTGGGGTTTGTTGAAAATTAATATTTTCCAATCCAGAGGAGGATCTCCAGGAGGTAATTCAGATCTGGAACAGAAACAGAGGACACCTGGTGGTGTTTAGTTGTTAGCATATAAAAACAGCAATCCGAGTCAGATGTGTGTGCAGCTGCACCAGCGACAATTAACAGAACCCATGCTTTAAATAAATAAAAGATGGAGTGATGGAGAATTTCAAATAGTGCAATCACAGAAACACAGAGAAATTTCAAACAAACAACATGAGTTGCTGATTCCAGATGCTGCCACTACTTTATGAAAATGAATTTTTTAACAGTTAACAGGCAAGAAGCAGCAACTCTACACTCACAGGAGTCTGCCACCTCCACCAAACAGACACATGCCATGGGAAAGTAGGACAGATTCCCCACTACTGCAAAAGTGAAGGGCACAAAGTTGTCAGTTTTGTTGGAGAAGAATCCACGGAGGCAAAAGCAGAGGAAGAACCAATTGAGCAGACTCAGGGGCAGCAAAACCACCGTAAGTGAGGTACTCAGCACCTCCCAAAGCACAGCATTCCCAAGCTGCAGAGAAGAGCCCAGCTCCAGACTTCCACCAACTCATGGACTGATAGACTGTGAGTATTCAGATTCCTATTTTAAGATAGTGAAGCTATTATTTTAATTGAGGATGCTGTTATTAAGGGGACTCTGTGAAGACCCAAACTAGAATTTTCTGCTGTGCAATAGATAGAGTGAGCTGCAAATATCTCTTGGAATTCAAACACCAAATAGTGTCAACCTCCGTGAGACTCCTTCACTCTAAGGAGCTGGAGAGCACAGGGGTGGCAAGGCAGAAAAAAACCTACACATGCATTTATGTGGGAGCTATTCAAAGTGTGAATATTACTGCCAAAAAATGAAATGAAGGCTAAAGGTCACACTCCCATCACGCTCTCTGTAGTATTAGAACTATATCATTACTTGGCTGGAAAGGAATGAATAAGAGCAAAAGACTGTGCAGCATGCAGAATGTTGTTCTCTTCCTTACACAACTTTAATGCATGGACTCAATCACAGCCAAGATTTTAAGTGTGAAAACTCTTTTCAAAAACCCCCAAACAAGTACTTTTCTCTTTTGAACCAGCACTGTCAACAGAGGAAGAGATCTTCTCATCTCTCCTGCTTATACCAACACAAACATGTGTGGTGAAGCACACCAGTGACCTGGTTAAAACTAGACTGGTTTAAAAAGCCCCAACAACCCCAAACAGTTGGTTTGAACCCACATCAATTCCCCAATCTGTTCTGATCTGCAGCCACGCAAACACCTACACTGATACGAGCGGGTAGAAGAAAACTGCTCCCTTCATCAGCAGTGCTGGCTGAGAGTGAAAATCAAACTGAAGACCTTCTGGTGTTTGCAGGCTTTCTTACCAAAGTTAGCAAAGCAAAACTTCCACTGAAAAACAGACTAGAGGCCAAGTTCAGGATCAGTATGAGACATAATACAGCTTTACACAAACTTTCAGATGAGCTCTGAGTTTTATCCCAGATGACAATTAGGCTTGACACTGCCTGTGCTGCTGGAAACAAAAAAACAATTTAAAAGTCAGCAGTAGATGCAGGAAACAAACTTTAGATTTAGCTTAAAATAAATAAAAGTCAGCTAAGGAAGAATAGCAAAGAACAAGTTGCAGGGAAGTAGAAAAACATGGCCTTTAAGTTTTTTGAACAAAATCCACCTTGGAAGCCTCAAGGAGAGAATTTGATCTGGCAAGGCAGAGGTGGAGATGGACCATTCTGCAATATTTGAGTAACCCCTTTCCCAAATTTTCTTTAATATACAAATATCCAAGGAAAAATGTCCCAGATATCATACCCTCTCAAAAGTTTGCTTGGTTACCTTAATTTTTAATTTCAGCCAACAGTACAACTTCCTTCTGAAAGGTTACCTGCCTGTTAATTTTCAAAAAAACTTCTCCTTTTTTACTTATTTATTAGAATAAGTGTATTCTAGTTCCATACCATCCATTACAATATATATATATATTACATATATTACAATATATATAAAGGCCTTCAGCTTCTATTTTGGTTTAATAAAAATAGAAAAGCAAAGAAAATTAATAGAATTTAGTAAACTAATTCGATCAGTAAATCAGTATAGATATTTGAAAACTTTTGCATTAAGTTTTCTAATTAATGACAAAAAGAACCAGCCAAGCAATACCAGTTACTCATATCAACAAAATATTTCTTTGTGTACGTCCATAAATTGTTCTGTAGAGTTAGATTGTTCTTTCAAAAGTAATGAAAAAATCTTTGGCTAACTTAAGCAGCAGGAAAAAAACTTAAAATGTAAGCTCAACAAATCTGCTATTATTTATATTTATATTATTTATATTTATATTTATATTTATATTTATATTTATACTTATATTTATATTTATATTTATATTTATATTCATATTTTTGGTTATATTTTTATAAATATTTATATTTATAAAATATTTATATTGTGTGCCATGAATTATTTAAATAATAATTATTAATTATAGTTAATATATATTGATGTAGCATTTAATATCAATGCGTTATTAATACCTTTAATAACTAAAATACTTTTACTAAGGAAAGAACAAGGTCCATGATCTGAGTTATGAGTAGTTAAATCAGTTCAGAGACATTACTGGGCACTGAACCAGAATCCTAAGGGAGAAGAAAAGTCTCCATACCCCAGCCATAATTGGACCTTTGGGATCTTATTATTCAGAGTAATAAAAATTCATTAGTTATGATGTGATTGTTTCTAATGTAAACACATTCCTCTTAGCATGCTATGGTTTCTCCTCTAAAAGTGAATATTCAGAAAGGTCTCTCTGGCTGCACCATTTGATGAAGAAAAGCTCAGAAAAGTAGAGGTCTGGTGCAGTTTCATGGTGGAACCTGCCTCACGTGGTTAAAGCTTTACGTTGTTTGCCAATACAAGATTGTTCTCTTGCTTCAGGTGCTCTCTCCCAAAATTCCCAATGCCCATTTATCTATCTTCAGAATAATAATTGTATAGATGGTGACTTAGCTGTGTATATTATTCTTGGGTGTAACAAAGTAACAGAACATTCCACATTTGTTTTCAGCAGATGTTATGAGCCCAGTGATGTCTAAAGATCTTATTGCGTTTGGAATTTAGTGAGAGCATAAATTTATCTCTGCTGGCCTTTCCTCAGACCTCAGGCAGGGAATTTTGAAAGCCATAAACCATAGGAAGATAAAATGTGATTTTTTGGGTACCAGATGCAGGCAAGTGTAAAATCATGAGGGAACAAGGCACGCTTCAATTTCATGAGGCACATTTATACATTTAGCGCTTCCACGGAGCTCAGACAGGTTTATTATGTAGGACTTGAACATTCAAACCAAGCCAGGCTCAGCACGAGGAGAGCGTGAGACAGCCCTGAGCAGAACCACGATGATTAAACGCCGTGGGTTTGTGTTTGTGTTCCCTGGGGGATGTGTGAAGAACTGTAACGCCGGCAACAAGTCCTGAGGAAAGCCTCAGAACAGGATAAAATATGAATTTAAAAAATAAAAAAAAAAAAAAAGGAGGAAAAACAATCAAAGAAGGGGCGCAGAATTGTGATGACCTAAAAAAATGAAGATGAAGCAGCAATGGGGGTGGAAAACTAAATGTTAGGCCCACATGCTGAACATCACCTACCTGTGCTTGGTTTGGTGGGACAGCACAGCTCGGGGGAACGCTGAGGAGACCCTGAGGGGACAGTGAGGGGACCCTGAGCTGACAGTGAGGGGACCCTGAGCTGACAGTGAGGGGGCAGTGAGGGGACAGTGAGGAGGCAGTGAGGGGACCCTGAGAGTAGCACTCAGGGGACCCTCGGAGAAGCATGGAGGGATCATGAGGGGACACTGGAGGATCCTGAGTGGGGCACTGAGGGGACGTTGAGCACCGAGGGGACTCTGAGCACACTGAGAGGACCCTGAGCACACTGAGAGGACCCTGGGCACTGAGAGGACCCTGGGCACTGAGGGGACCCTGGGCACTGAGGGGACTCTGAGCACACTGAGAGGACCCTGAGCACACTGAGAGGACCCTGGGCACTGAGAGGACCCTGGGCACTGAGGGGACTCTGAGCACACTGAGAGAACCCTGGGCACTGAGA